CCTTTTAATTATGTTTGAAATTATGAACATTGCTCAACATCATGAAAATTAAACCTTATTTTCAATAAGCAATCCTGAAAAATATTTGGGGGTGCTTAACTTTTTTCCAGGTGTATATAATGTTAAAAGATAATTTAACTAATTCATTTACATTTATTGGTTGGACTTGGTTTCAAAATCATGAAAATTACTTGTATCTTTGCAGGAGGGGATAATTATTCAAATATGACTGTAGACTTAAATATTGATGAACATTTTTTTTTTCCAGGTATTATCACCCTATCAAAATCTGCCTATGACACCTGAGCATCATAAAATATGTGAAGGATCACATAGAGTTTCTACTTTCTCTGGTTACTGGCCAGCTAATGATCAGAAGCAAGCTCAACTTATACATAGTAATACATCCATTTATACAAAAGTATCTAATCAGGGTATTAAACGACCAGTGTTGTCCACATTGAAAGAAGAAGAGATCATGGAAGAAGAATCATTTCATAGAACAAAATGTTTATATGATTACTCAAGTCTTCATTCCACATCTTGGTAATTATCAAATGTTTTATTTGATCGATTGGTATAATAGACTACTCAGTGAAATAAGTTTTTTTAATTTGTAAATTTTATCAAAATTATAGTTATCTTTGTTACAGACTGTTTAATATAGAGTGTTTCTTTATTTGTTTTAATAAGAGGCTTATCTTCATCTTACTGTAATGGACGTAGCGTGTATGTCAGTATCTATGTATGTAACCAAAACTACAGAAAAATCTTTAAACATCAACATATTGATAATATTGATGCAGAGATGAAATGTTGATTGTTTAAAGACTTTTCTGTATTCTTAGGGTGTGTTTTAAACTTATAAGAAGACGATCTAAAGAAAGCAATTCAAGATTGGAAAGCCAAAAATATGCTGAAATACAAGATATCAATGCAGAAGTTGTGATTGTGGCGCCATCTATTGAATGGCACCATAAACAAAAATCCATAAAAAAATTTCACACTATGGGCATTCAAGATTCAGACAATTTAAAAAATAACTATGGTATGTGCAACAACCATTTCTTTATAACAAACACAATTTTAAATAAAAGTACTCCCCCATGCAACAAGTACATGACTTTCACAAGGACTGTACGTGAGGGTTTGATTATATCTTTATTGATGTAATTTTTAAATGTAGTACTAAAAACTGGAGTTCTTTAAAAAAACTATTATTTTTTCAATTAAGGATAGCTCTTTTAATATAAGAAAACATTACAGTTTATATCAGTAAAATTTATTAACGTTTTGAGCTCTGTACATTGAATCATTTTGATGCAAAAAGTTGTATATGACTAAAGAGCACAATTCGAACATTTTTCTAGTGCAATATTTACCAGAAAAAAAAGTTCACTTTCTTTTTACAATTTTTTAGAATTAGGTGTGAATACTCTGATTAGTAATTACTAGCACAAATGAGTCACAGTGTTGAATTTACTTTCATATTTCAGTTGATGGAAATACCTAGTTACCTAAAGATTGTCTTTGATTGCTTCAAACTAACAGATTTTTAATATGTTTTTAAACCAAAAAAGTTGTTAAATATACTAAAATGTACTTTTTTTCTTATACATGGTTCATAAATGTAAGTATTAGTTGGTTTGTCTAATATTTAACAACAAATGAGTAAATTATTTTGACACACATACATATGTATACTGTAACAGAAAATGTTTGATAAAATTAAATTCTTCTAGCCATATGGTCTAATGGTTAGTGTGCTGGACTGAGAGTTCATAACACACTTCACATTGCCACAGAATCATGCTCTGCACTTTGTAGCCATGGGTGCATTATAGCTTAAAAGTTATTTAAGTCCTTGCCGTGTCTTTGTAAGGCACATGGAGCTGATGCTTTCAAACTCTGGTTTCATTATATGAGTGTTCGTCAAATCTCACTGTTCAATTAGAGTAGCCCATGAGTTGGTGATGAATTCTGTTGACTAGCTGCCATCCCACTAGTCTTTCAAGTCAAAATTATGAATGGCTCGCATAGATAACTTGTGTAGCTTTACACAGGTATAAAAATTAAACTTGGCCATCAGTTAAGGTGTAAAATATAATTTTTTTTTATCTGATAGAAAGGAGTGATGAATATATGTTCTTTTACTCTAGGGAGCCTGAGCAGAAAAAAAGAAAGCATTTTAATTGTGGATTTGGTGTTAGGACAGAGAGTATTCTAGGTGATTTAGAAGAAACCCTCAACAGTTCAAAGTCAAAAGACCCTTATGAGTTCAATGATGATTTTGAGGATGAACAGCGTAGTTCTTCTCCTGGTGGATCAAGTTATAGAAGCTGTATTGATATGTTTATCAAAGTACGTATTGAAAGCATATTAATTTCTAGGTTTTCTTCTTTTTTGTGTTAAGAGTATAACAAAACCATAGACAGAATAACTTAGAATGTAAGTATTTGGAAACCAGAGTAGATAGATGAGCATTCTTAATTAAATTTAAAACAAAATATTTGATTATACCAGCATTTTTGCATATTTTCATTATTTGAATATAACAGACTGGTGAATAATACTTTATTATTAAATGTTTTTCTCTTTCCTTGATTTGAGTATAATGAAATTAAAGATATACAATTACAGTTTGTTTTGTGTATATTGAATGATAATTGGCTTTTATGGAGCATCAAAATACTTATCTATGTGCTAGTTAGAAGTTATGTTAATTCTAGTACAGATTTTTGTCAGTAGATTCTGCTACTATTTTGTTAAAAAGTTTTTTCACAGAATATTTAGCATTCTTTTACTGCTGAACAGATTTTTTTAATGAAAATATTTTTTACTGAAGGTGTCTGCTGTATGAATTGTCATACCATTTTTTTCAGTATTGTAGAGTTTTTGATACACCTATCAAAGTATTAAAGCTTTCTTTCTTTACAAAAGATGTAGGCATCATTTGCATACCAATTAGTATTCAAAAGTTAAGGTATTTGTGCTTTATTGATTTTTTAAAGAGAGATAGTCATACTTTTATTGAAATCCAGACAAAAGTACAGATGTGACAACTAATTTTATAGGAGGGAGAGAAGACAAGAGAACAAGAGGTTACTCCTCCTCCTGCTCCCTATCCTGGAGAACTTTCTAAGCCGTCTGTCTTGAATGAACTTTCGTGTGCAACATCCCCACTCACTCCTCGTCCTCATATTACCAGTTTCACTAGAGAAGAAGACCTTCAGCTTACAGAACATGACCTAGAAAATATATTTGAAGTGAGCGCTTCTGATGAAAGCAGTAATGAAATGGTAGGCTTAGTATATTTATCTGCTAATTGAACTTTTAAAAGTGTTAGGTTACATGGCACTCATTTGAGGAAAGTAATAATATACCATTGTTTTTAAGAATTATTTGTTAAATAATGTATTGTTTGAATAGTAAGTCTAATCTCCCTATTTTTTTTATAGTAGTAATGGTAAAATGTCAGGTTTTTTTGTTGTCTAATGCGTTGTACTCTTATTTTATAAAGTACTGCATAGTAACATATTCACTGTAGCCTAAGAACTAAATTTAAAAACAATTGAAAAGAAATTACATCTTACAGTTTAACCCCTATCCAGGTTACAGGTAGGGTTCAGAGTGCATGTCATCATGTTTTGTAGACTTGTATTCAAACTTTTATCAAACTAATATTTGATCAATATATGTCCATAAATTTGAAGTCAAATTATAGTTTATTATTCAAATTTTAGTATTATACATTATTTAATTTCTTAATTCAAAAGAAAATATAAAAAAAAAAGAAATTAAATATTGATTTTTTGTATGTCACATAGTCTTCCGCTTTTGCTCGGATTCTATTGTGGGTGTCATAAAATGCAAAGTCTAATGAATTAGAAACTTAAATTACTAATATTGACAAGTTAGAATATGAAATAAGAACCTTCTACCTATTCTATTTGCTGAGATATTATATTTAGCAAACCCTATTTACCTATGCCTACTTTTCTTGAATACATGTTTATAACCAATTGAAAGCACTCATTTTGAAGTATGTAATTCTGTCAATCTTCCTAAAGTATTTACATGGGTAAAGCAGTGAAAACCGTTAGAGGGTTTGAAGAGTTGTGATCAAGGCAATTATATGATCAGAAATGAGATTTTTATACCCAAATACAGCTTAGTTAGGAAGCCTTATAGTTATGGTGGATTTTTGTTGTATTGTTATATCAATTAATTATTTATTATAATTTTTAACAAACAATTTTAAACTCAAGTGCCGGTAGTGGATATTAATTAATAATTTGTTGTTATTCCAAAATGGTTGTATAAAACCTACAAAAGTTTTTTTACATACTCCACGTGCAAAAATCAAGGAGGCTTAGTAAGTATGATGTATGAGTATAAAAACTTTGTAACATCGTAAGTGGTAGAGATCATTGTTTTATATATATTTTGTACTTACTTTTCTATGTTTTAACAAAACTAATTGAAATTTAAGAAGTTATGTGTAAATAGTATTGATATATGTACATATGAAATATATGGTAACCAAAATGTCATTGTATTTTACAAAATACTGGTACACTCGTACTAAGACTAAGACACTTGTTCTTTGTAAAGGTCAGTTTCATGTTATTTGATACGATAACATGAGTTGCATATGTACTGTGTGATTTACAGCTTATGTTGTGGCTGATTATTAGTTAGACACAGCTCAGAACTTAATAAAACAAAAGATTAATAAATATAAATAGATGTATACTGTTACGAGATTTAAGCTATTTAGAATAAACATTTGTGGTTTTCTATTATAATTTGCAGTCATTCTAGAAAGAAAAAAGGGTAATTTAGATTTATTTCCTAATTTTTTATGAGGTCGGTCAAATGAACCAACCCTGTACAGAGTTAAGGTTGAGAAAATAACAGATAAGATATAAAGTTATTCTAAAAAACATATTATATTCATTTAGGAGATTATAGAGATTATGCAAATGAAATTTGACAATTTTCAGGTGAAGAAAAGTATTTCCAGTATGGTATCTTACCTTTGCTCACGAAATAGCTTTCATTCAGTTCTACGTTTTATATGCACAAATTTTTTTGCTTGCCACTAGCTTGGAAACTCCCACCTACTCCACTTTCCATGTGATTCTACTTCATCTTCGCATGCAAATAAACATGTGGCAACTCTCCACCAGTAAGAGCATGGCACACTCTCCTGAAACATGTTACTCTCTCTAAATTATTAAGCCTAACTTTCACACTTCTCATTTAAACACAGTCATGTTAAAAAGTTGCTTGTGGACGATTGGCTCTTAATGGCTCCATCCAAACAACTTGTAGCTCACAAACACATAGAGTTGCTTCTGATAGAATCAGCTCATGTAGGTTGGATCATCAAGGTTGAGAAGTCCTTCCTTTCACCTGTCCAACATCTTGTCCACTTGGAAGTCTTTTCCAACTCCTACCTAAGTTGGGCCTAGCCTTCTCTTCCTTGTCTCCAGTCAACGGAGCTTTTTGTCACCAAGGTCCTTACTTCTCCTACACTCACTGTATGAGAAGTTCTTCTCTTTTGGGAAGGTGGGCTTCCATGGAAGTTCTTATAGTCGTAAGTCCTACTCACATGTACCCCTTCAATGGATGCTGCCCAACCAATGGAACCTTGCTAGGGATCCCTTGGACTTTGTTAACCATCTCCCATCTTCCCTCTTACTCAGTTTCATATGGTGGCTAGAAAGAGACAACATCTTGGTGGTGTTCCTTTTCTACCTCCGCTTCCAGTGTTGCACCTGTTCAGAGATGCTTCTTTCATGGATTGGGGGCAAGTTTAGAGCATTGGAAGGTTTTGAATCGTTGGTCTCCTGTTGAGACAATCATGCATATCAGTGTCTTGGAATTACTAGTCGTCCATCCAACTCTTTTGATTATTTCTTTTTCTCTGTACAAGTAAATTGATCATGCTCCCTTCTGATAATTCAACAGTTGTATTATACATCAATCAATAGGGTGGTACCCATTTAAGTTTGCTCTGTTTCAGAAAATTAGATTTACTCTTTTTGGGCCCATGATTTTTACACACGCTTCATTCCATGTCATTTTCCAGGTGCATTCACTCTGGTTGCGATCGTATTTTTTATCCCAACCAGATCCTCCCCATGGAGTGGTCCCTTGACCCTTTTCTGATGGCTATGCACATATTGGGGTACCGCTCATTTGGATGCATTTATCATACATCACATCACCAAATTACCCCTGTTCTGGTCCCTAGTACCTCATCCTCTGGCTTTGGATATAGATGCTCTCAATCAAGACTGGACCAACCTGTACCTATATGCCTACCCATTTATCCATCTCTTACCCAAGGTGTTGTCCATCATCCAGCTCACTTTGTGTTGAGTACTTCTTATAGCACCTTTTTGGCCAGCACAACTCTGGTTCCTGGTTCTCATCCTTTTCCAAACAACAACCATTTACCTCATCCTCTTTTGCCATTCCTTCTCCGTCAGTCTCGATCACTAGTTTCTCGTCCTGCACTCACCAAACTCTGTCTTCACACATGACTTTTGTATGATCCCTTGCAAGGAGATCTGGACTATCTGCATGTGTAGCATCAATTTTCTTCCAGTCGGTTTGCTTTTCATCACCCATGTTTTATCAGAGAAAGTGTTTCACCTTTTGCCCCTGGCCATTGCACCATGGATTCCTTCCTTCCTGACCAACCATATCTCACGTCCCAGAGTTTCTTACCTGGCTGTTTGATCATAACTCCTCAGTATCTACCGAGCAGGATATCAAGCATCCTTGGCCAACATCTTCAGTTCTACTAGATACCGCAGTGTTTTCCTCTCACACCATTTCCCTTTTGGAGTTCCTTCTGGATCAGTTGTCCTCCTTGCCATACACTATTGCTGGATTGGGATATTAATGTTCTAAATACTCTTATTTGTCCTCCCTTAGAACCCTTAACCACCTGTTCTCTCTGCCATTTAACCATAACCCTCTCTTCACAGGCATTCTTTACAGTGCATATCATGAGGTTTTTAGTAACTTTCATTCAACATTTAATTAAAATACTTTTTGTTTATGCTCTACAAATTCATATAAATAATATTTTAGCTAATAATCCATATGTTAATAGTATATGAGTTTTAAGTTCTTAATTTTATTTGGCAATATTTAAGCCTTTAGTTTTTGCAAAGTGACCTATCTTGGCTGTGTTTTAGTGGACTAGTATTTTGTGAAAAACAGTCAGATTTCAACTATTACATATATTGTATATATATATACATACACACACAAAATACATTATTACTATTTACAAATAAGTTCTTAAACTTATTTTTCTGAAATCATAGAGGAGTAGATAAAGAAGTAAAGCAAACAATTATCTCTTCTTGTTACAACCTTTGTACTCATTTTGCTGTGTGTTGTAGGTTGCTAAGACTTATAAAATTTAGCCTTTGGAAGATGTGAAGTGAAATATATATATATATATATATATATATATATATCAAGCATAGTAACTAAGCTGTATTTGGGTCTAAAAAAAAATATGAAATTTTCAGCAGACTAAAGACTCAACTTACCACCTTGAAGGTTTGTATTGAAAGTACGAGATGATGTCGTAATACTTGAAAATGGCTTAGAAAGCCACTAGGGATTAGGGGGACATTCTGAGGTTTCATTTGGTTATTCACGTCATAGACAGAAGTAAGTATATATAAGGGAGCATTTCCAGAAATGGAAAGAGGTGAGGGGGCCACAGTGCTTGATTCCATATATATGAGTGATATCTCAGCAAATTGAAAAGATAGGAGATTCTTATTTTATATTCTAGCTTGTAAATATTGGTAATTTAAGTTCCTAATTCACACAACACAAACATCCAATTTGAACCAGTGCAGCATTCAACATACCACATTACACACAAAAATTGATTTTTAACTGTTTTTTTTAATATTTACTTTTAAATTAAGAAATCAAATAATGTATGATATTGAAATTTGAATTATAATCTACAGTTTGATACCAAACTTATTGACATAAATTCATAAAATAATAGTTCAATAAAATTTTGAATGCGAGTCAACAAATGCGATGACATGGCCTTTGACCCGTGACTCGTGTGGAAAGGGTTAACAAATCTGATATATGTATACAAAGGCCATGTAATGTTTACTGAGAGTCTGCAAAATCATGTGAAGATACACTTACATTAACAAAAGTTATAGTATGATTAACCTCATGGTTACTTTGGTGGTTATGTAGTAGGTGCAATGCCTCATAGTCAGAGAGTTAAATGAAAACATAAAAGATATTTCCAAAACTTACTTACCTCCTCTCACACTACAGGTATTACTTGACTGCTAGGATTTCATCCTTTGCCCATTTAAGCATTGGTCTGATTTTTTTCTCACTTGCTCCAGTCTTTTATTTCCCAATTAATTGCCCTTGGTGATATCTGTCTCGTGACACTCTCCACCTATGTCAATGCACCCTCTGTTATTCTGATACTGTATCTAAACACCTCATTCAGATAACATTATAACTTTTTCTTGACAAAGCATTTGTTAATGGGTTTCTCTGTGCTATGACCATTGGAGATACCTTAAGTGTTTTTTGTGTTACCTAGTTGATTTTCGTAAAAAGAAAAAAAAAAGAAATTTCGTTTGTGCAAGCCTATATATGACATGAATTCTCCGATTACTGTTTCTTTTGAGAATGCTTTTATTCCTGGTCTGGAAAACAACTTTAAGTTGTGTTTCTGGTGATCACTGCTTTTACTGTTTATCTATATTTTATATTAGTTTCATGGCTACATAACTACTTCAGTGGGTAAAGATAAATAACAAATATAAATAATTGATGAAAACAAAATAAGTTTGACCAACTAGATATTTTAAATGGAACTTTTTGATTGATCATACTTAAAAAATCCTGTTTTATTTCATTGTTTCATATTTTCTAATAGTTATTTCTTTGTATGTAAGAGCTTCTTTTAACAAATGAGAAAATGAGCATGTTGTTATTAGAAAAACACTGACACAAGAATTATACTTTTATGGACACATTTACATGATTTTAGGCATACAATAAAAAAAAAGCCTAAGACAAAAAGAAGAATTTTTTCATGTTAGACAGTGTTTCAAAACAAAATTTCCAAAAATTCACATTGTAAAATATTATACAAATACTGAACTAAATTATATAATTTTTCAAACACAAACGAGATATGTAGAAAATGTGTATCAGATTTCGTGTAATTAGCATAAGCAGTTTAAGTGTGAGAATGAAACAAACTGGGGTAATATAACATTACCAGCCGAGATAGGGTTGATTTGCTGTGTTGGTAATGTTTATTTACATGATATCTTGTAAATAAAATTAACTTCTATGGAGTCAAATCCTGATGTTTTTAAAGGATTTCTGTTGTTCAGTGTTGTTCAATTAAACAAATTCTGTAAAATTGTTATGTAAAACATAATTAATTAAAAAATACTGAAAAAGTATGTAAAACTAAGCTAATTAGACTTGTTTTGATGTTTTTTGCAACTTTTGTACATAACAGTAAAATATTTTATCAGTTCCAGCATCCAGCCACACCTAATTCCATAAAGTTCACACCTTACGAAGAGAATGTAACAAATGCAAACAGTACCTCATTTCTGGGTAAGAACTTTTACACCGCTAAGGGGTATTAATTTTACAAATAGGTATTGCAGAGATCTGTGTTATCAGTATTTTTTAGTGAGATATAAATTCATTATGTTTTAATTTTATCCCAAACAAGTATATTGCATAAAACTATCAAATGTGAGTACTATTAAAAATAATTCCTGTTTATATAATTTGAGATGAGTATGAAAATGGATTACCAGTTTACTGTCCTCTCAACATTAGAATGGATAAGTAAAACTCAGTTAAATAGACAAGGGATGTCTGAATTAAAACAACAAAAGAATATGGAATAAAATGATAGTTATGGACATGGATGAAATGTCAGTAGATAGTGTGTAAATAATTGATTTATTACTTTTATCCTAGTTTTTACCATATCAAGGATCTGGAATTTTATTGTTGTAGTACAACAAGTGTTTGAATTTAATATTTGATTCCTTTTAAATATTGTGTATAAGTTACTTAATAATATATATACCTGAATTTGGAAACATTCAAATACAAGGCAAATATCTGAATCTATATATATATATAAGAGGCTAACATCTGTCTGTCTGCAAAGCTCTTCAAACAGTTTAAGTCTGAGTTGGATGAAACTTTGCACATTTTTTCAGCATCATTAGGGGAAGTTAATAAAAAAGTTTCATTACAATTGAGTCTCTTATAAAAAAAAAGTTTATTTAGTGCATGTGTTCTGTTTTTTAAGAAATAAGTCAATAACATCTTCATATCACGGCAAAATGAAAAATGTTATAAAATAGACCCTTGCTAAAATTAAAAACATAATATAATTTTTTCCTAAATTGCTTTCTTAATGGAGAAATTGTACTTTTTCCTTTTTAATAATGTACATTAATTCTGTACATTTATTATTATCAACAAAATTTATTTTTTTAAATAAATCTTCTAAAATTGTGGTATAGTCAGTTTAATGCAGATTATCAAATATGAAGTGACACAAGCTTTAGAAGATACAGTCTAAAAGGCTATACGTTTCTAGTAATGTAACATTTAGAATTATTTATTATATTCTTCTGTATGATGAATGAGGGGTAAATACAGCCTATTTCAAAGTCAAAAGTTCAGAAATAATTTATGATGTGTTGAAGAAAGAAAATCTTGTCTCAATTTGTACACGTTTAATAGAAGTTTCAATAAACTTTAGACTAAATCATGGCAGAAAAGTTAGGCATAATCTATCACTATAAATAAGGAAAAATACAAATTATCACATCAGAAACTGAATTTGTTTCTGTTTTTTTACTCTAAAAGGTAAAGTATGCCATAAAAGATTATTATAGCTTACTAACTGCTTTTTTACATATTTATTTAATGCAAAATAATAAATTATTGAGAATTATTATAGATAATTATTTTGTTATTGGAATTTTGAAGGTAACAGTGCAATGATTAAATAAGTTTGTTGTCAAATTGTGATAGTACTCTAATGGTTTAAGAATATTAGTATTTAAAGAATAGCTTATATTGAGTTTAGGGACACTTTGAGAACCTGAACTTAAGCTTTAAAATAAATAAGCAATCTGTTTATTATCCTGGACCTGGCCCTAACTGTTTTACTGTAAGAAACTGTATTTGGTTTTTCTAAAGTAATGGATTTAAACTTCATCTGTAGGTCCAGCAGAGTTAATGCGGATGTTTCCCACTCCTCCATCTTTAGAACCCCATGTTACTCCATCTCCATCTGGGATTGTTGATATTACAGTAGTGGATGGTAATAATGGCTTACCAACAATCAGGGAAAGATTAGATAATCATGCCAGCTTTGATACTTCAGGGCTGTATGAACAAACCAGAGTAAGTAGTGATTTCTCATTTGATTAATGATTGTTAAACCTAAATATTATAGTCCAGTACTTTGAACGAACTAGAGTAAGTGTTGATGGTTTGAGTGCCTTAAAGATTAAGTTTTTGATGAGTTGAAGAATGTCATAATTTTTGTATTTATTGATTTATAGTTTACAAAAGTAGTAGTACTAAAACATTGAATCTCTCTTTGTTGTTGCTCTATGTACTATTTTTCAAATTGTAGTGCATAAGATGTATCAATTTAGGACTGAAATAACTACATAAAAAGTGGTGTAACTGGAGAGATAAAGGTTAAACCTTTTGAATTGTGAGAGCAAAATAGATGAATGTAAAATACATACTTTAGAGATTTGTGTCAGCCTTACCTGAAGAATAAAATGAGGGACTATTACTAGCATATTTTATCTTTGGGCACATTGTTTCAGAAATACAACTAAATGTAAGTACTTTTGCTAACAAAAAAAGGAGGAATATAATTCTATGGAAACTGCCTCACCTATATTATAACTACTATTCAGAAATCAAGTTGCTAGTTACTACATCTTTATTTTTTCCATGTTTGTTGAATAATATAAAGGTCCAGTTGTATAATTTTTTCCCAATTTAAGATGTTTTGTTTTTCCCACATTGCATCCATTTATTAATGTAAGCAATATCTTTAAAGAACTGCAGTATGTTGTTTATCATTATATGTCATAAATATTAAAAGATTATATTTTTTAAAGGTAGTTTTGGCTATTTTGTTGTAAAATCTTGTTTATACTGAAGTGTCAAGATCCATTGTTTGTCATAATTGAAAGTTTTAAACCTTTTAATTTCTGGTGTATCTCTACAACGTCCAAAAAGCAACCACAGCCTTATATGAAATATCAACTTGTGCAGTGTGGTTAGACGTTATGAGTTCTGTTATTAAATGAATTGGAGATATTGGCTATGAAGCCAATGCTACTGAGGTGTTTATAAAGCTTACACTGAAATAGAATTAGCAAGACATAATTTAATTATGCCATATAACATGACAAACTTAAGAAAGAAGTCATATTTTTGACCACTTAATGATGAATTAATAAGTTACTTTCAAACAGAGAGAAAATCTGCTAACTGCTGAATCACTTGAAGCACAAATCTAAGTATTTGTTATACATGCTATTGACATCCCTGCTGGTGATCTGATGTTGTAAAAGTCACTTGAACAGAAAGCAATTTGTACCTGAGTAACCTTACTCATGCTAGTTGATAAATGAGAAGATGAAAGATTGTAAGAGAACAGAAGTGTTTGATTTCTTAGACACTTGCAGTACCAATAAAGTCATATGGAATAGACTTTGATAAGACAGTTTGATGACCTGTATTTAAAGTTATATTGTGTAATACTACCTATTTGATGTCTGTTAAATGTAAAAATATACATGATTCTTGTATCTGATGATAGATCGTTCTCTTGATAAGAATTAAAAACGTGAAGATACTAATCAATTTAGTAAAACTAAAAGAGTGGGAAATCATGTGAAATAGACAGTGATAAGACAGTTTGATGACCTATATTTAAAGGTGTCATTTTGAGAAATACCCATGTCTGTTGTGCATGAGCTTACTTGTGGGCTATCTTCATTAATATCTTCACTGGATTATCCATCAGAATTCTGTTTACAATTTTGGTCTTGGAAAATACTTTTTTGTAAATAAAGTAATCCACTCATCTTGTTCTGCTTTGGAGAGAAGGTTAGTTCCCCATTTTCTTGGATTTGAAGATATTAGGCTACAAGAATTATCTAATCATATCTATCCTCTTGCACGGGACATTTTGGTAGAAGAGAACAATTATGTTGCCATCTTAGTTTTAGATTACACACACACACACATGTACACATAAACGTCCTAATTATGCATTCCTGAAACAAAATTCTGTATACACAAGCTGCAGCCATTTTTCAAACCTTTGATGATTGTATCCACTGATGGATACATTGTGTTGTTGTTGTTTTTTTCCATATTTTACTGATGGGCAGAATAATGATACAACAATTACTGATCACATATACGTGATGTTGAAAACATTTGCATCTTGATATAACCACCTGGCGTGGCTGTTATGAATAGAAGATATAGAGATGCAGTGAATCTCTTACAAAAACTGGGTGTGCAAAACTAGAAGCCATTCTTTCTGCAGAAAGACCCAGTTTTTTAAAGCTTGTAACAAAAATACATTGGTGGTAGAAGCAACAAATGGTTGCATAAAGCAGTGAAAGCTATTGGACATGGTATATACCCTCCTTCAGATTTTTTTTTATTATTAATATTATATAGAGAGAATTAGTGCTTTATGTAACTGGTATCAGCCTGCACTCACACAGAACACAAGCTAACTACTGTTGCACAATGTGTATTCAAACTGGTGAAACAACCAAAACACCCCAACAGATTATAGAATTTGAAGATTTGTACACAAGAGAAGTTGATATGGTAAAGATTAAAGCAGGTGATGCAGCTTTTGACTTTTTTTTTTATTTATCTGACGAATGTTTGCAATCACTTACACTAGATGTGTACTGGCTGAAACAGGCAGTATTATACATACACAAACGTATATTTGAGAATGAACTGTATGGTTCAGTAATAAACAGATCATCATCTCCATATAAAGATTCAGTTTTGCCTTATTTCAAGTAAGGTGTACTCTGGATTCAGCATGACGGAGTGACCCACCTGTACCAGATTGGAATTGCTTTGTCGTGCAGCCTCAAGAATATAGTTGTGCTGTGCACATACACACAGCATCAGTAATGTGATTCTTGGGACTCAAATAGTACAAGGAATACAGAACCTCAAGACCAACTTCCATACATACCTAAAGTTATTAGGGTGCTACAACAATCATTGTTAACACTTCCAGTGAGTTGAACAAAGACTGGGGATGAAATGCAAACACTTATTATATACAGGGTATGTGAAATGTGACATTTTTATGAGTGAGTTATATGATAAGCCAAGATTAAAAACGATTTTTCTGGTCATTTCTGTTCAATAAAGTAAGCACTATTTATAAATATATAAATTTGAAGTGTGTGCATGCAAAATATCTATATAGGATTTTTTGTTCAAATTTTACATAGGCCATAAAGTGTGCTGTGTTTTCCTGTTTTTGTCAGGTTGGCATAAGTATAAGCCAAATCAAATACATTACTTTCATTTTGAAACATGCTGTTACACAAATTATCATTTCACAATTGGAAAAGTTTTGCATGAAATAATTTTTGTAATTTTACTTCATATCATGTAAAATTCCTATGTAATTACTTTGACTTTCAGATACCTATTGTATTTGTTTACCAAAGGATTTCACATATGCATTATCTTAATAGGCACAATCCATGCTATTTTTTTTCTGTCATGTTTCTAAAATTGTTTAGCTATTTTTAAGACTTATTTACTGGTACAAGGAATTTTAGTGTAATTTAATAGGTTTGATAATCCCTGATTATTATATAAGCTTGGCATATCATGCCAGTTAACTATTTTATATTATGAAAGTATGACTTTAAAATTGAATAACTGTTTTAATTTTGGCTGTTTTCAGGATTGGTCATATGTATACAAGCCCATGGCACAGTACAAGTTTCTGAGTTCAAATAAATACTCTCCTCTCTCCAGCCTTCCTAGCAATACACTACCCTCACTCAGTGTTCCACCAGAGACTACTTACAAACCTTATTGGCATTTTTATTTTTCATCACAGGCAGGAATGCTAGCAACATCTGCTGGTGTCCCAGACAATCATTTTAATGGGTAAGATATTTTATTCATTATCAGTTAAGTTTTTTAGTAACAATGATACTGCACATAATATACACTGTTGTGACCAAAGTATGCAAGAAAAGTAGATCATTAGTGAATGAGTGTGTGAAAGATACCAAAACTGCATGGATATGAAAAAAGGATTATACATTGGTGGAATTGTTGTAAGTTTGTATTCAAAATACAGAGGGTTGTTAACAATACGTGGCAACAATTTGCATATCCAGCCATTTCTGTGGCTTGTGACTACACTAATTTAAAGTCTTGACCTTCTTGTTGTAATTAAGTTGATGTGTGGTTACTTACAAGTCCTGATTCTTCTAAAATTGACCCTTTCTTAGAGGGTCACATTACTGGAATTTCTCACATACAATCTATGCCAAAAACATAGAACTTACAGAGTTTTAACATTTCAAAAAAAGAAGGGATGTCTGAAGTGTTGATTGATGTCAGTAAAGAGAAATTATGGTTCATGTTATGTTCACAAACCTGAATGAAAGATGGACTGTTGAGAGCTGTATGTGCAGTATATGGCATGTGATAAATGGAAATATATCATAAAAATTAGATGAAGCATATTTCTACTTACATTTTTACAAATGTTTTCTGCAAGTAATACAACATTAAAACGATGTAGTGTGTGTTTCAAATGTTTTCCCAGTAGATTTATAGTACTCATAGGTTATAGCTACAATGCAAGCTAAGCATTTGGAGAGTTAATAAAAATGCCAAGGTGCATGCTATTAGGCTAATATGCTGACACCACTATACTGTGAAGAAATACTATCTTTGTACAGATTGAATGCTAATAAGAAATGACTTCATCGCATATGTATAAGTCAACCTGTCTTTTCTTCTTAAAGGTGCAAGTACAAATATGAATTAGTATTTTACCATAGCAGACATCTCTCTTGAAATTTTGTGTGTTTGGGTTTCTCAAAATCATCAGTATGTAATTGAAAGATTTCAAAAAGCATGTAAAATGGGGTGGGGAAAGAAGACTAAAAGATGTAGTTATTCATCCTTGTATCATTACTATAGATCATGAATGGCTCTCTGTAACTTTTACAGTAACCTAACTACATCCAGTATAGGCACATGTAAATGAGTACCATCTGAGAGAGGTCTGTATGGTATGTTTTTTTTTTTATGAATGTGGGTGATTTTAGAAGTAGTAATGCATAGAAACCATATATCATCTTATGTGTAAAGCTTGTCAACACTGGAATCTTGATAGTGGATCTCAGATATTGTGACTACATGTGCAGATATCCAAGCCAAGAGTGTAAATGTTATGATCTTCCTCAGTGTCTATACTTCTAGATAATCAAGCTAAAAGTGACACTAAAGATTACAAGACAGTAACATTACGATCATTGTAATATCTGTATTATTTTGTATTTTATTTATAATGCTATTCTGTACCAATTATGCAAAATACCTCGTTTGCACCACTAGTGCCACTTTTGATTATATAAGATAGTTTCCTGCTGAAGTGAGTAAAAAATTAGTTGGAGAAATAAAAGCTGAGAACAGTACACAGTGTATGTAAGGGTTGTTATTGAGAAAACATTACATTTGGCGATGGGTTACAGGATTCAACTATCCAGCCGACTATGTCTAAAATATTAAATTTGACTTCTATTGAGCCTTCCAACTGCATGAACCAAAGCAGTATTTCTCAGTGATGTAAAAGCTGGAAAGAGCAGTTCACCTGTTACTTGACTGCAACAGTTATAATGGATGCGGGGCCAAAAGGGCTTTACTTCTACACGTAATTGGACCTGCATGCCAGGACATTTTCACAATCTTCATAGACATGGGAGATACTTATCAGGCAGCACTGGGTAAGTTTGACACTTATTTTGAGCCACTAAAGAATAGTGCTTTTGAAAGATACATTTTGACAAGCTGTTCAGCAAGATGGTTAAAATATTGATAGGTATATTACTCATCTTATACAGTTAGCTTTCTCGTGTGAATATGGAGATTTAAATGATGACATGATCAGGTACCAAGTTCTAAATAAGTGTAAATCTCATGACTTATGTAGAAGGTTGTTGAGACAAGAAGGTCTAACTTTAGAAAAGGTATTAGAGATCATTTGAGCAGCAGACCAGCAGGCATCTTGGATACAACATAACGGGGTAGAGACCATACAAGCCATGAGCTCGCCTGATAAGCACAGTACATCAAGACTGCTTTCTACTCCAATATGTAAAACAGACTTTGGTGTCAAAGGAAGACCACAAATTCATTGTTATTGCTGTAGTTATGGAAATCACGTAGCTCGCAATTGCCACATCACTAAAGACAAGATTTGTAATAAATGTCATTTTCAAGGGCATCTCACAACCATGTGCACGACTAACTATTTTTCAAAACTGGATAACTGTTCTACTTGGATGAAAAAGGTGAATTATATCACTGGTTATGATTTGCTTGATGGTGCAGAGTTGTCGGAAGATGAATGTGTTTTTGTTTTATCGAACAATATTGACAATACCTTGACCATAGGATTGTTGCATGATGGTACATTCATCTCCTGATGACTCTTGTGTTTTTGTTTTGTTGAACAATGTTGACAATACCTTGACCATAGGATTGTTGCGTGATGGTACAGAGGTGTCAGGAGATGAATGTATTTTTGTTTTGTTGAACAGTAATGACAATACCTTGACCATAGGATTGGTAATTGGTGGAGTTCCATTGACAATGCTTTCAGACTGGTGTGAGTTGTAATGTTGTAAGTGAAAGTATCTGGAATTATTTCACATAATGTGGTATGTCATGCACACCCAGTGTCACTCACAAATCCTCTATGCATATGGAAGTAAATCTCTGATTGAAGTAGTAAAAAACTCAACGTGGTCATTTCTGTTAAACCTACAGATAGCAAAGTGATTAGAGCTGAGTTTTTGTAGCTAAAGGTGCCAGTCAGTCTTTGTTAGGCTGTAACACTTGCACTACAATTAAGTATGTTGAGCTTGGGTTATCAACACTGTTTGTCTGTTGGAACAGAGTCCAATATTGATGCCATTCTGAGTAAATACCCCAAATGTTTTGGTGACATTGATAAATTAAGAGATTATCAATTAGAAATACACATTGATGAGACAGTAAAGCCTCTAGCACAACCAGTTCATAAAATTCCATTTAGTTTGCATCAGAAAGTAGAAGAAAAATTAAATGAGCTAGAAGAGAAGGATATAACCAAGAAAGTATCAGGCCCTACTCTGTAGATTAGCCTAGTGATTATCGTGCCCAAACCTTTCGATGAGATAAGGCTATGAATAGACATGCAGAGAGTTAATGAGGCAGTGCAGTGTGAAAGACATCTGATCTCAACAGTAGATGAAGGATTGCACAACATGAATGGCATGATTGTATTCAGTAAACTAGATCTCTGATGGGGCTCTCATCAAATCAAGCTCAGTGAGAAATCTAGAGAGATCACAACAGTTGTGACTCACAAAGGTCTTTATCGTTATAAATTACTTATGTTCGGTATTTGTTCATCTCCCAAAATTTATCAGCACATCATCAGGCAAACTTTGCAGGGATGTGAAGGTGCTGAGAATATCTCAGATGATATTATTGTATACAGCCATACTCGCTGTGAGCATGATCAGAGGCTTAAAAAGGTTTTATGCCATCTTAAAGAGAAAGGTTTGACTCTAAACAAAGATAAGTCACAGTTCAGAGTTTGACAGCTTGTGTTCACGGAACACTTGTTAACTTGTTATCCAAGAAAGGTATCAGTCCAACTGCTACTTGTGTTCAAGCTGTTAAAGACACTAGAACTCCAAAAATGTCAGTGGAAGTCCATAGTTTTCTAGGCTTAGTTAATTTCAGTGCTCATTATATTCTGGGTTCAGCTACACTTGCAGAACCATTGTTTAGGTTAACTTGCAAAAATGTCAGGTTTGTTTGAGGTTACCAACAACAGGAGTCATTTGATGCATTAAAATAAAAAATGGCATCTACAGAATTTTTGGCATATTTTAATTCAAATGCTAAAACCCAAGTAATCTGTGATGAGAGCCCAATGGGCCTAGTGCTATTTTAACTCAGTAACAACATGGCTAATTTAAAGTTGTATCATATGCTAGTTGTAGGTCATCAGATGTCGAGAAGGACTATTCTCTAACTGAAAAAGAGGTGTTATTGCTTGTTTGGGCATATGAACATTTCCATTTGTATTTGTACAGGATTTCATTCGAGTTGGTCATGGATCATAAGCTGCTTGAATTCATCTATTCGAGAAAATCAAAACCCTCAGCATGTATAGAATGGTGGGTTTTGCATTTACAACCTTATTCCTTCACTGTATGGTATAAATCAGATCAACAGAATGCTGCACATTCGTTGTCTTGGTCGTTGCAAAATGCCATGATAGATAACTCATGGAATGCCTCAGAAGAGTACTTTTCTTTTTGTTGTTGCAAAATCTGCAGTACGTAAAGTGCTCACAAATTGCCAAGTAGAACAAATCTCTGGTGATGATCCAGATTTAACTAATTTGCAAATGTGTATTCAAGCAGGTACACTCAATCATGCTACAGATAGTGTGAGATTGTTATACAAGATGGTATTTCCTGAACTAATGTGTTTAGGTAAGTTATTGCTATGTAATACTAAGTTTGTTATGCCTCAAAAGTTACAACAGGAAGTTATAATTTTAGCAAATGAAGGCCAACAAGGGATTGTTAAGACTAAAGCTAGGTTACAAGAAAAAGTATGGTGACCTCGTATGAATAAACAAGTGTCAGGTTGTCAGTCCATTGTCAAAATAAGAACCATTACAAATTACTCCTTTGCCAGAGTGCCCTTGGCAACATGTAGGAGCAGATTTATTAGGATTGTTTTCAACTGGAGAAAGTATTCTCGTAGATGTAGACTATTATAGCCATTACTTAGAGCTAGCTCTCATCAAATCTATCACTACAGAGAAAATTTTATATAATTTAGATAGCATATTTGCACGTCATGGTCTATTAGACATAGTACAAACAGACATCGGAAAACAGTTTACATCAGATGCTTTTAGAAAGTACATGACAGATCATGGAATCAAGCACCAAAGAGTGACTCTACTGTACCCATCAACTAATGGGGAAGTGGAAAGACAAAATCAAACAACTTTGAAAGTCATTCAAACAGCACATGTTAGTGGTGATGATTGGAGATGTTGTTTAAATACATTTTTTTAGCTTACTGTAGCACACCACATACAGTGACTGGAAAGCCACCAGCTGAATGATTGTATAATAGGCAGCTTACAACTAAGTTACTTCAAATTAGAGTAGGTTAGACAGACACAGACATGCATAAACATGTATCTGACAAAATAAGAAAGGAAAAGTTAAATGCTGACAAGTTGAGGGGTGGAGAGTCAAAGATTAGGGTAGGTGACAAAGTTTTACTGCAACAGAAAAAGATGAACAAATTGTCGGCAAACTTTGAACACAAACCATATGAAGTAATTCACAAGTGTGGCAGTTAGGTCTTCATCCAGTCTGATGAGGGAGTTTGCTACAAGAGGGATTCAAGCCACATCAGGAAGTTTGCAGAATCACAGCAAGCTTCAGTCACTAAATATCATTGTGCTACAATGCTAATGATCTCAAGGTCATGATAGTCGTCACAAGTGTCACCATCGTGGATTCCAGTGTCACTGACAACACCAACACGAAGTCCTTTGCCAGTGACATCATCAGCATGTACTTCTTCACCAACATCATCGGAAGTTATGCAGTCAGGTCCAGAGCCAAAAGCCACATCACCTCAACAGCTACAACAGTCATCACAAGTTTCTTTTCCATCAGACAGATACCAAGCACAGTAGTTCTATTTGGTGTATATACATTTTTGTTTGTTTGTTTAAACAGAGTGTAGACAGATTGCTGCTCTGTATGGGTGTTTATTGTGATGTAGGAACCCTACTGCTCTACAGCTACAACCACACCATTCCAGAAGACTTCTCATGTTAAATTCAAAGGAAAAAAGGAATGTAATATCTGCATTATTTTATATTTTATTTATAATATTATTCTGTACCAATTATGCAAAATACCATGTGTGTGTGTGGCAATAGCACCATTCTTGATTATATAAGATAATTTTCTTTTGAGGGGAGTTAAATTTTAGTTGCAGAAATAAAAGCCAAAAGCAGTACACTATGTGTATGTGTCAAGGCTGTTAATGAGAAAACATTACAATCATCCTCAGTATCTTCAAGTCTGGACATTCAAGCCAAAAATGACATTACAGAATATTAAGACTAGTCATTAGAATCATCATAAGTGACTACAGATCTAGGTACTTTTGTACATTTCACTTCGCAACTGATGTCTCCAATAGCATTTAATGAATTTATACATATCAGCCTATTAATATTTGTTTTGTTTTTCAAAATTCTAAATATATTTCAGATGAGCATAATATTGTAGCTCAGTGGTTTTTATAAGTTTTTGAACCTAACATTTTACTGCCAGATACTAAGATATCATAAATGATGTTTGTAATTTTCTTACTGTTCATAACCAGTGATAGAATCTTCATCCTTCTGTATTTTATAGTGTTTTGTTGCCATTGTTCTTTTTCCAACTCTGATACTTTTCTGTCCTCCATTTTTGATGGAACAAGAATCCAAAATTATTTATTTATTTTAGGTATCACCTGCCACCATTTTCCCCTTCAGAGTCATACAGCCCAGATCTGTACCAAAAGTCTTTACCTATTATCTATGATCTGCAGTCACCAGCTTCCAATGCTTCCTCATATTTAAATAAGCATTTAGGTTCAATAGATAATAGTTTATCATCTACAACTCCTGAAGCTCACAGTCTGGTTGTGAACCTAATCCTTTCAGATTCAATGCTCAACCTTTTCAAGGACCACAACTTCTCAAGCTGTACTCTGTGTGTGTGTAACATGAATGTTAAGGGCACTGACATAGGCCTTTACCTTCCTGATTCCATGGTGGCTTATAAAAACAATGAACTCCAGGAAAAATGTACATGTGGTTTTAGTGCTGTGGTCAACAGACATTTGGGGTATAACTCTGGGCTTTTTTATGAAGATGAAGTGGACTTAACTGGGCTGCAGAAGGAACCCATTAATCGACATCATCAACGGTTGAAAACTAATGAGACAGTCTCAGGTGGTGGAACAAGTAGCACAAGCCCAGAGCAGCTACTAAACAAGATGTCTCATGATGTTCCAGCTTTGTTACAGAGCCACTGTTCTGTTCTTCAGCCTTCCGCTTCATGGCTGTTTTTTGCCAGACAGCTTGGCATGGAAAGTCAAACAGCTGTATGCAATACACTTCAAGTACTTGATGGATGTGAAGTTTGCTACTTAGCGCTAGAAGCAGGCAGACAAGCCTTAGACAGTGAAAACACTGTCAGACTAGAAAACAAATGTGATTATCTTCACAAGTGGCCTTACTTACCAGGTAATTTATTAATTTTAACTAAATTCACTCTCTTAACTCTTCTGTGTTTCTTACCTTCTGTGCTTGCTAATTTTTAGAAACCTTATCTTACCTAATCTAACCTTATCTAACATATTAAGCTACTGATTTTTACATTTTAGTTACTTTTATAATAATAAATGAAGAATACACATGAAAAACAAGAAATATAGTTCTTACATGAGTCTTTTTTTATTGTTATTGTTGTGGATTATGGTAGCTTTAACCTGTTACCATACTCTCCACCTAAACTTCTATTCTGTAATGTATGCTTCTGTTTAGTGATCCTATTTGCTGTCTAAACTATCAGTTCATATTTGTTTATTTATAAAATGAAAAACTTTAACTTTTATGATTTAACTGTAAAATTTACAATATTGTTTTTATAACTACAGACTGATCATAATATCAGTGCAATTGTAAATTGATATTCTGACCACAGAGCTTTTTATTATCATGTTGGTTAGTCCTATATATTTGTTGTTCAGTTGATTGATACAGGAAAGACAGATGATAACTAATTTACTTTTTTTTCCATTGAATTTTATTCATAAATGTGAAATGTTTGCATTTATTTTATGCTTATGAAAAAAAGAAGAAAAAGATAAGGTGGTGCACTGGTATAAAGCAGCAATAAAACAAGTGACTACAAGTGTTGTGGCTCTAACTGTAATTGAAACTCAACCATATTTCCAAAATCCTTGTTCATATGTAATTTGTTGTTGTAGTTTGTAGTGTGAATAGGGTATTAGATGGAACAATATCATTAACAAAATATATTTTTATGTAATGCAAAGACATATAGAAGGTACATAACAATATTCAGGTGATCCATAAGGCTGCTTATATATCAAGGTGTTATATCATAGGTCTGGAATTGGATAAATTAGGATTTATTGTATTCTGTTGTGTCTACTTCTATGTATATAGATATGTTAAAAGAATTCAGTTAGCCAATATGATTGAAGACAGTGTCAATTAGTAGGTCTAGTAACTGGGGAAGAGTTTCACATATGAAAGATGTGGGAACATTTAGTAAAAAAAAAAAAAGGAACAAGAAAGATCTAACTAGTACTATATCTTTTCTAAGCTTATACACATTCTCTGAAACTACCTTGTATTGCAGATTTGGTTGTAAAGTAGTTTTACCATCTAACTTTTCTGAGACAGTAACTCTCCTCTGTATACAGAAATGCTGTTTCCCTCACACATCTTCCTATGAGATTTTCATGCCACTAGCCTTGAGCCAACTCCCACCTAAATTCACGTGCTTAACATGAACTCCACTGCTTCTTTACAACATACTCATGTGACAATAGCCCTCCACCAGAAGAAGGGCAATACAACCTTCATGTGTATTAACCTCCCTATGCACTTGCAATAATTTCATTCTTTACCTCAGCATTGCATTGAACAGGCGTGTTCAAATTTCTCATTTGAGTTCAGTTTGATGAGATTAGCATTGCTTAACGAAACTTTGATTTTCGTTTTCCTTAGCTTTTGTTTCAAAAGCTTTCAATTTTATCATGAATTCTTAAGTGATGATGACTTCTATTTAGTCCTGTGTGAGTGACGATGTTACACACACAGGCCTTATTTCTACTATGACTTCTGGAGGCGCTTTGACTGTTAAGGATGCTACAATCTGTTCAATATGTAGTGGATTACCACATGATTACTATGCCTCCAACTCCCATCCACTTAGCCAACATTTTTTCTCCCCAGTTGTGAATGGTGTATTGGACTATGTATTTGATCTGCTTTGCTTTGGGTAGTGCTTTACCATTTGAGTAATGACTTTAACCTTCCAACCTCTTTCTGGATATCATTCTCAGGTATATTCCTTCTCCTTATTTTTTGCCTGTGTCCTTTAATATTGCTCATTCATTGCTTCATGAACCAAATTCTTGGGGTTGCTTTGTCGTCCCTCGTTTGTGTGTTATTAAGGGTTTATGCTGTTTTCTTTCCCTAACAGCTCCTTACTCATACCCACATGCCTCATTCCTCTCACATTCATGACTCTTTTGTCCTGACTTACAGACATGTTTCCTTTTCTTTCTAGATTCCCTGTTTAAACTTCTGTTTGGCCTGCTTGGGGAACAGGCCCCTTGCCTTGTATTTTGCTCTCTGGTTCCCCATTTGCACATCTTCATCTTTTTCTCACCTTCCTCCTATATTCCCTCTCCTCCATTCACCTTTTACTTGAGGCACTTCATTGTGCTTCAGAGGGTTTTCTGGGCAGGTTTGTTCCATTCTCTTTGCCAGCTTAGCCTGTTCCTGTTCTTCTACTCTGTCCCACTTTACTTAGTTCTTCTACTGTTGAGTAGAGTTGCATTCCTTTTTAACTCTTTTTTTTTTACCCGGGCTCGGTCCCTGGGACCAACCTTGTAACCATTCTGTGCTTGTTATAGTTTTCATGCTATAACTTTTAAATTAGTAAGCAAATGTTAACGAAATTTGGCAGTTTATTAGTAAACATTACAATGCTTTCATATGCAAAATATCTAATTTTTTTATTTAGTTTTAAGGTTTATAAAGCAATGTTTCTCTCATGCATTTTTTTTTCTTTTCACATCTTGCCTATCTATTATGCAAAAAAGTTTTCATTTTAAGATTAAAAATACATTTATGCACCAGAAAATTTTGAAATT